GGGTATTGCATTGACATTCTATTAATTAAATGAAAGGGCTATTCTATTAGATAGAAAAAAGTAAAGAGAGAGAGAGAGAGAGAGAGAGAGAGAGAGAGAGAGAGAGAGCAGAATTGTATATAAAGTATTGATGCAATTAGTAATATATACCGATATTCATAAAAAGCAACAAAAAATGCGATKTGAGTAAAACTATTGACGTATATATTATACTATGTTTATATATAACTTATATAATGTGTATACTGTATAATACAGTGTGTGTTGTATGGGTTGCGCACAATTGAAAGCACAGCTCATAAAATAAATTAAAAGACATAAGTGATGGCAAAATCCTGAGTGAGATTTGTTTTTAGTTGTCTTGAGATTCGGGTATAAGTATTGATATCAATAGACTGTTGGCCTGAGTTGTGTCTCACACGCGAACCGCAACCAAATCATTCACATATACATCGATTCACACGACGGTTCACTGATTCAAATCCAATTAAATATCAAACATTAGTATATATATAATATATATCGTCAACAACAACAACAACAATACTATACCCAATCCTATCGATTCTTTTACCGATTTTCTTATGACATTTTCATATATAGTTTTCACATTCAATACCCAATTCATAAATTATTGTCAAATATCCAGAGAAAGAAAATTATTTCACTTTTTGATCGACAAAAAAATAAAAGCCAATCAAAACTCTGCTATAAAAATTCAATTTTTCTGTTTCAATAATGTTTCATAATATTTAATTTTTATATCCATATATTTGTTATATTAATACTATTATTATTATAGTATTATTATAACAAATAGGAAGAGAAATATCAAGTAATAAATAAATGGTATGAATAAATAAATATGAGCTGAATATGCAATAAAATGAGTTACGAGTCATAAAAATCATGAGTCGATAGTCTCTTATCTCACATTTTAAAGAAAACAGAGTATTATTATTATTATTAGAGAATATTACAGAATATGAGAACCAATGAGTTAAACCTTATGTTATGTTTTGTAAATAACATTAGATTTTTTTATTGAATATTTATGTTTCACATCAAACCATATGAGGCGATACCAAGTTGTCTAACAAAAAGGTCATCTATTAGTCTTTTATCATTTATTATAACTAGTTTTTATGATAACAATAACGATATGTTTACATAATGTAGTTCGTGTATTGTATTTTAAAAAAATTATATATATATATATATATACTGTATATATATAAATATCTAAATAAAGCTCAGTATTTGTAATTTTCTTCAAAATTTCACATATACTAGTAAATAATAGTAGTAGATAATAAGACACAATATTTAAATTATCGTAAATTTGTCGTAATATAACAACAATATGTAGATTATTATTCAATCAATATTGATGTTTAAAATTAACTATAATTTACTATAATAGTGCTATCATAGTAATACTGCTAGTAATATGTTAATAATAATATTATTATTAAAAATAAATTAAGATTATTAGCTGATTATTTTAATAAATTAATATAACATTTTATTTTATTTTTGATACTTTTTGATAAATAAATAACTATATACTGTGTATACACGACTTAATCTTTTTTATAAGCATATGACTACTGAAAAAACTATCAAATTATCAAAATATCTTAATTTTTGAAATCTAATCAATCAATCAACTGATACCAAACTTTGACTCTTTATCGTTAGCCTATAGGGAGAGTCAGATATAAAAAATATATATTGAATTTGGTTTTTTGAGACCATATTTTACTATTTATATCGCATTTATATTCCATAATATTTGTGTCGTAAACTATTTCACTCAATATATTACATATCAAGAGTAATATGTTTTATGAGATTTTCACTGAATTGAATTTATAATAAATATTGTGACAAATTTTTTTTGTAAAACACGATAAAAAGATTTTCGTAGTTATTTTTATATAACTTTTTTATTTGACGAATATATCCAATATTTTATCTAATATAAAAATTTAACCAATTCGTGAATTTTATTGTGGGTTTTAATTGTTGAAATTCATTATTTAATATTTTTCTTAAATTGTGATAATAACGCTGTCATTAAAAAATAAGTAATTTTATAATTATATGCTTTTGAAAACAAAAAATTAATTTTTAATAAAAACAATACAAATATTATTTTTCTATACACTAATAAATTTTGTTTTAGTTTTTTTAGTGCAAAAGAATAACACAAATACAAAAAAAGATAAAAATATTAGAAATATATTTTATATAATAAATAATTTTTATTAATTAATTTATATATAATATATATATATTTATATATATAGTCACCGGTGAATGATATTTATAATTAATAATATTTTACTTCTGTTTACAATAATAATAATAATAATAATAATAATAAAAATGACAATTTTTAATTTACATTAATTATTTAATTAATTATGTTTTTTAGTGTTGGATTTCACAAATTGTTATCAATTATTTCATTTATATTTTTAATACATTAATTTTATACTCTGTGTATAGGATTCTTATATAACATGATTTTTTACAAAAGGGAAGATCAGTACATCTTTTTTTTGTAATAATTATAATAATTTAACAAATTTATGTAAATTGTTGTCATTTAATAATAATAATTAAAAATATTAATAATTAATAATAATAATAATCACATTCTATATAAAACAAAATAAAAACAAAAAATAAACTAAATAAAATAACTATTTTTATATTATTATAATAACACGTAAAACACTATCAAATTTAGTCATTAAAAATATTAAATAAATATTTATAAATCAGACTATTTATATAAATATGTTTCACAATTTGTAAATCATAAAAATAATTAAGTGATTCACATTGTTTTTTAGTGATTACATATTTTTATTATTATTATTATTTTATCTTTTTTTAATGTCACATAAAACTTAGTGCAGATTAGTTTCTTTTAGATTATTTTTTACATTATTTTAGTTTTTTATATTATTTTTTACATTATTATTAGAAACTTTCATTAATTTTCTTCAGATTATAATTAAGTGATTATTTTTGTTTAATTTATATTTCATTTTACATGAATGAAAAAGTATTAAATTTTAAATTGTCTTTTATTAAAGTTTTATCTTAAATTAGCCTAATTTGTAAATTATAAAATTAATTATAAATATCTGGCTATAAATCTCGGTAAATATCAAATGGGAGAAAAAACAAAAAGAAAACATTAAAACATACAATAATAATAATAATAATTTTTATATCAAATAATAAAAAATACAATTAAAACACAATGAGTCGACTCATCAATTAAAACCGTTTAACGTGTTATTTATATAATAAAAGATGAAGTCATGCAACTAATTGTTAAAATTTTTACATAACAGAGCCATATATATATATGTATATATGGTATACCACTGGGCTTTCTGTAATCGGGACTCACATATTCACATATTTCTACAGTTTTTATATAATATGTTTTTTTTGTTAATATTTTGTATTTTTTGTACTAAACGAGTAAATAAGTGTCTCCTTTACACTCAATTAATGTTGTCGTATATTATAATATAAGGCAACCAATCATATAATTTAGACCTAATCTTTTCATTTATATTAATAATAATAATAATAATTTATAATAATACAAAACAACTAATAATAATATTAATAATAAAATAATATAATGATAATAATTAATAATAATTTTTATACGTTAATAATATTACAATATAATAGCTCTACAATATATTAAACAAAGTGCATAAAAGGGGGGTTTATTTAATAGAGACAAATGAGAGGATAAAAATCAAAAATTAATTTATTTGTTAAAAAGCAGAGACAAATGTTTTTTCGTTTTTCTTTCAATTGTCATTTCATTTAATCAATTAATCGGTTTTCTATATTAAATTGATTGATACTTAGTATCAGTTTAATAATATTTGGGACATTTAATAATATATTATTGAATATGATTTATTGACAATAGTAGTAGCATTTAGTAGTGTTTAGGCACTTTATTGCAATTATTTTTAATAATCATAATGAGATGATCACAAAATGGTTTAATAATAATAATAATATTATATATTTAAATATAATAATATAATTTAATAATAATAATGATATAATTCCTGGTGTAGTGCCTCCTATTAATCTATTATCTTCCAAGAGTATAGTTTTAATCACAATAAATAAATAAAACACCTAAATCTCAAATTTATATTAAAATCAATATTTAATATAAATTTGATATTTATTTATTTAATGTGTATATAATGAAAGGCCGCGGTATTTGCGGGATCAAACCACTCCTTGTTTGTCCCTATGATGTAACCGATATATATTAATAACAATAATATTTTTACTTTCTTTATTATTAGTTTTTTGTTTGTCTAAATATCATAATTAATTTTTTATTGAAACCTATTGTTCAAATGTTGCATATATTTATTATATATGATATTTTCTATGTTTCTTTGGCATTCATTTTATTTTATATTTATATTAATGTTTTTTAAATGCTAAAATCATAATTATATTTTTATTTTCAAAAAAAAAATGTAATCCAAAAGTTTCAGTTATCATATTTTTTGAGCCAAATCTCTATTATTTTGAACATTGATTGAGTTCATCGATAATTTAAGACCAGATTTTTTTCCTATTATTATATTTAATGGCTTCAGATATTTATTATATAATTTGTACGTAAATTTGAAATTTCATTGTCTCTGCTCTTATAAATAAATATATTTTTTATATTAATAAAAAAAATTGTGATGTAAATGAACAAAATATACTATTTTGTTGCCCAACAAATAGTGGACTTTTAAAAAGATAGTCACATGAAATTGGCGTTTGTATTAATAATTAAATATTATATTAAAGAAGATATGGTTAGTTTGAATGTTTTTATAAAATGTTATAACAATTGACATCAAACTTACTAACAAAACAAAACTAGTCTTTTGGTTAGTAAAAACCATTAAGAAATAATTAATTTATATTATATAATAATATTTTATATTTATATTAATTTATAAAATGTTAGGAATAATAATTACGAGTCCGAGTCTTTATCATTGCTACCGGTGCTGGTGTTAGATAACGAGTGGTGTAGAGCCATGAGTGCCAGTTCACTGTTGACACCGATGGTGAGACCGGAGTTACTATTTTGGTTGACGACACACTTTCTCATATGCTTTTCCAAAGTCGACGGCACCGAAAACGGCATTTCACAGAACCGGCATTTGTAGACATCTTTGCCGAGTCGGCCGTGAGTTTTCATATGTCGGGTTAGTTTAGAGCTCTGGGCGCAAGCATATGAACACAACTCACACTTATAGGGCTTCTCTCCCGTATGTGACCGCCTGTGAACCGTAAGATTAGAGCAATTCTTGAACACTTTGCCGCAGTACTCGCACGTGTCGTTACGGCTTCGGTGGTGATGCTCTTTGCGTCGCTCACTACTCGGTGGTGTACTGGCCGCACGTAAATTGTTGGCCGTCGGCGATGTATTGCTATTGCTATGCATTAATTGAGATGGAGGTGTCTGTAGATTTCGTATAGAACTGGAAGGCCCGGGACGGGGACTACCGCTCGAAGTCGACGATGAATTCTTACTAAAGGCACTGCTGTCCACTACTTTGTTTCGGACCAATTCAGCCGCCACTGAGTCTGTAGCGGCGGATGATAAGTGATGAGCAAAAGAGGCTGTAAATGGATTGGCGGCCACTGATGGCAGCCAAAGACCGGCATAAAGTGGGTCTCTCTGATCGGACGCCGCATTGAAGTCTAATTTGAGACGTTTTGGATCAAAAGGGTTGTGATGATCAAAGGCACTCAATAAACTGTTGGCGGAATTCACAGAAGAAGTATTTGAATTCCCGATTCCGGCCACTATTTCATTAAAGGACTGACGGTGAGGACTGGTAGCCGAATGAGATAAATGGTGGGGTGAGTGATGTGAATGAGAAAAAGGTGACGAATGAGACTTCGAGTGCTTTAATATATTATTGATATTCAGAGCACTGGTATTGTGATTGTGTTCAGTTGAAGACAAATGACTCGATGAAGAAGAGGGTCTCTCCTGTTTGAGTGAACCACCAGAAGTGACCGCATTCTTCACACTTTCCTCGAGTGCCTGTTTGTAGGCCTCGTTGTACTGTTGGATGTCTGTTAAGCCTATTTTTTCCATGACTTCACCCAATAATGATTGCACTGCATTTGAAGTACGATTGTTTGCATTTAAAGGACTGTCGTTTTTATTTGACTTCTCGTTCGGTGTCCGAGTAGTTCGGGACAAGTCTTCAGCGACCATCTCAAGGCTAGATGAACGAGACGTCTCACCATTTTCCGGTTCTTCTCCTTCAACACCCTCTTCATCTACTTCCTCATCTTCATCTTCGACTTCTTCTTCTTCATCAATATCATCGTCTTCGTCCATTAAGTCTAAATCCACACCATTTGTTGTGGTAGTTGTTGGAAGACTTGAGTTATGCTTTGAGGAAGGAGTGGACGAATCGGGCGCCGAGTTGACAGAATCGGTATTATTGTCCAAACAATTGCTGTGAGAGTTAGTTAAGTTGAGACCACTGATGGTTATATTATTGCGTTCTCTAAGATGTGTCTTCATATGCCTCTTCAATTTGGACGCTTGAGTGCACGCGTGGTTACAAATATGACATTTGAAGGGCTTCTCTCCCGTATGGGAACGCCTGTGAACAATAAGATTACTCATAAACCGAAACGATTTGCCACAAAATTCACAGGACTTGGATTTAGGACTCGAGGGTTGCAGTAATGCTGTCGGAGTGCCTGACCTTTCGGATAGCGAGGCTATCGATGTGGTCATTGATACAGTTGGCGAGGTTTTCGTATTAGAGGAAGACATTTGCAAATTGAAAGGAGGCGTCAACTTTCTTGCCGGTGATATTATGTTAGTACCGCTCGCTGGACTCGTGGCTCCGGCCAATTGACGCAATCGCTGCGAATAAAAATCTAAATGTGTATCAAACGAAAGAGACGGCGGAGGCGGTAATGCGAGACTGGTATTGGTTTGGTGTCGACCCGAACTTCCAGGCGAACCCTTGGCCGTCGATGTCGAGTCGGGAGGTGCACTATTAGTAAACAAATTATGGGTATCGGAAAACATGCCGCTAACCGAATGATTCAATGTTGACGAGACATTAGATCCACCAAATATCTCTGAATGACTAGTAGATGACCCACTACTGCGACCAACAGCAGCCGCGGCCGCAGCGGCTATAAATGATTGGACCGGGAATTGACGTTCACTTAAAGGCATTCGCAACAGATTTAGCGCCGAGTGATTCAACGTATTATTGACCATTGATTGACCCGTTGAATGACTCGTTGAGTGACCGGTTAAGTGACCGGTTGAGTAACCGGTTGAATGACCGGTTGAATGGCCACTACCCGACCCACTCAAAGATTTATTGTTACTCTGAGAGTGAGAATGAGAGCGAGAGTGAGGGCGCAAGTGGTGACCATCAATAGGCGGTAATATCGACGGTTCGCTATTAAATATATCGACATAAATCTTGAGGCCGTGAAGGTTCTGCACGTGTTGTATGAGAAGCCATGAAGAAGTAAACACTTGCTTACATGTACTACACATATGACTTATAGGCTCTAAATAATTGAATAGTAATTAAAATGTTAATAAAATGTTAATTATTATCAAATAAATTAATTGTCAAACAAATTGGTTAATGTAAAGGAAATGAAATTACTATTAAATTTTGATCAACAAATAGAGATCATAAATAGTCAACAAATTAATGATAATTTTTCAATAATATGTGTAAATTAAATACAAATTAAAGTTTATTTTGTGGTAAAAAATATTTTAAATATTAAATGACTTCAAAATAAATAAAATAATATTTTAATGGGTGATTATCATTATAAAAATTATTATTATATAATTTTTGTGCTTATTTTATAATATCAAAGCTGGTAATTGAGACATTAAACATTAGTATTGGGAAATATATATATATATATATATTGAATGACTGCTTAATGTCATTAATAAACATTAATTTTTGTCAATTTATTAATCAACAATTTAATCATCGACCCCATAGTCTGTAGTTTATAATTAGTGAGATTTTAACAGTTAATGTATCTAAATTTTAAATTATTGACTTTTTTAATATAACTTATGGCTATACATTTGAAAAATAGTTTTTTCGCCTAATACTGTAGTCGGGGGAGAGAGAGAGAGAGAGAGAGAGAGACAGAGAGAGAGAGAGAGAGAGAGAGAGAGAGAGAGAGAGAGAGARAGAGAGAGAGAGAGAGTAGAGTAAAGGACAGGGAGTAAAATATATGCAAATCATAGACAAAATAGATGTAACAGCGACAGTGAGAGAGACGAGTAGTGAAAGTTTAAGAGGAAATTAAAGCGCTGGCAGTTTGCAAGCGGTCATCACATCGGCGATCATCCATCTCTGTCAGGACCTCCTGCAAGCACTGCCAATACACTCGCCTTTCCCGTACTCTCACTCCTAAACTCCTATTCCTATGTCAATGTGTATCTGCCGTTTGATTTTTTTTCAAATGTAGACTAAATTTTTTATTCCCCTAACAAATTCAATATAAATCTAAAACAACACATACATTGAAAAAAAAACTCTAAATCCTGAGCCAAAAAAAAAACTTAATCAAAACCCAAAAACTTCAATACAATAAAAAAAGCTAAACATTTTTTCCACAATTCATTTCAATTGTGGTGAAATAGTAGAGCAGTTTGAGAAAAATTTTCAAATAAAAAGCTATATAATCGACAAATAGATAGTAAAATGGATATTCCTTTGCTATACGGTATGTATATGTTTGCAATGTTATGGTATAGTACAGTACTAAGCAATATATCTGATCAATCATTTGCATAAATAAAAAGTATACACACAGTATATACTATTATATGTTGCCCTAACTTGTCTGTGCAATATTGCCAGTGCAATGACATAAACTGTGTGTACATTACTATTATGGGTGAATATATGGTTGTCTACAAATGTGTGTCCATTTCTTTATTCAGTATATATATAATAAATATTTTTTACTTTTATGAACATTTTTAAACATTATTTCATATAAAAATCAATAAATGGTTTTTTAGCACATTTTAAAACCCCTGAAGGTCTGTGAGTTGAGTATATGAGAAGTGAGTGCGAGAAGGGAGTAAAAAGATGGGGAATTGAGAGAGAGAGAGAGAAATGGGAGAAAGATAGAGGTTTAGGCGCGTGTTTGTTGGATGTGTGTTGGATTTGGTTGTTAATCGGAAATGACATCTCGTCACGCGAACCGCTATGAATAACCTGGGAGTGGATCCAATACCATACACCATACGATCACTCTTTTTCTGCATCTTTTTTTATTTTGTTGATATCACCAGAATATAGTAAAAACCATTCAAATTCATTGTGCAATTCATGCCAACCGATAGCCCCTAAACACTGACTGCTATCTTATATTATGTTTATATTTTAAAATGTATGTCTATTATATAAAATTATGTACTGTATGTGTGTATACAATATAAAAAGTCGATGTAAAATATTATATGGATATAACAAGCATTTAGGGATCTACAGTACAGATCGATACCATTTACAAGTCTATAAACTGATAATACGGTCACTTTAGTATGTGTTTAGGTAGCTTTCAATCGCTTGTTGGGGCCATAAATCCTGGACTACAAATAGTCGAGTAATAGTAAAGTCATTTTATCAAATAATACTGTATTTGTGTTGAGAAGTACACTATTCAAGAGGTCTATAGTAGTGGGTGGCAGTCGTGGCAATGACTTGTATGGCCTTTTGTGCCAATATATGGTCCGAGTCTAAAGAGTCTTTGGTGCCCATTGTGTGGGTGAGAGGAGAGTAAGTATGAGGTCGAGTGGCAAATGGCTTTCAAAGTGTTGAACTAAACATTTAACACCTAATAAATCTTCACTCCATTCAGACCCCTATGTTTTGGACAGTCTATTCAATAGTCTATTTACACGCTTAACCAAATTTTAACACAAATACATTCAATATCTATATATATAGAAATTATTATTATTTATCAATTTATATTATTTCGTTTTATTTTAACTTTAATTTTATTTTAATTTGACCCCATGTTAGGCAATATAAAAGGTATAACTTATATGTAAAGCATATATATATATGATGTGGCAGATGGTCGGGCAGTGAGACGAGGCGAGACCGGACGCTAACACTAGTGCTGTCAAAATGGCTTTGCATTTATTTTATTTTAGAAAATCGGTACCAAAATATAAACTATGGCTATATGTATACCGTATATATAAATATAACTATTGCATATATGGCACGGTATTGCATATTGCTTGGCACTCAATATCACAAGCAATGACACACATAGTATTTCTTGAGGTGCCATACAATGGATGGGCGAGTCAAGGGTGACGGCCTCATACAAGTTCGACTGACTGGTCTCTCTCTCTCTCTCTCTCTCTCTCTCTCTCTCTCTCTCTCTCTCTCTCTCTCTCTCTCTSTCTGTCTGTCTCATCGCTAACATTCAATTTTTGGACTTTTCTTAGCATTTTCTCTATACATGAAAACTCTAGAAGAGAAAGAGAGTGAGTGAGTGTGTGTGTGTGTGTGAGAGAGAGAGAGACAAACGCTAAAAAAAGTTGGTAACAATTTTAAGCTCAATTCCTCCACTTCCTGGGCCGGTCACCCTAAGAGAGGTGCAGTCATATACTGTATATATTGTGGGGACATTGTTTGCTAAATTATAATAACGCTGGTTTTACTCTAAAATATATCTGTGGCACATATGGGGGCGATCACTATAACGGTTCCTGATGTCAACTTATATTTCTAGGTATTATATCATACGTTATGGATTCAAATAAAATATATTTAAATTATAAAATTTATGAATAAAAATTGAATATCAATACAACATTTTATTCAATAAACGTATTGAAGAAAAAACATTTTCTTGTGTTTGGCAATAATATTCTCGCATTTGTATAAAAAAGTAATTTGCATTTTGAGATAATATATGTGAGTATATAATGTAATGAGATCACAGTTAAACACAATTTATTTATGACATAATATACTATATATTAATACTAATAATAATAATAAAAGAGAAATAAAGAGAAAACTATGTTTTAATAAACGCAAGAGTGAGCTCAGAGAGTAAGTGAGTGAGTGAGTGAGTGAATGAGTGAGTGAGAGAGAGAGAGAGAGAGAGAGAGAGAGAGAGAGAGAGAGAGAGAGAGAGAGAGAGAGAGAGAGAGGGATGTAATCAAGATGTGAGTCACGTATGTTTGTTAATATGTAATAATTACCTGAATTTATAGTATATGTTTGTTTGTCGGCAACAGTTGGCTTTTCACCGGTATTTGCACGTTGTGTTGGACTTGAATTGGTGTCACAATTGGACAGACTTTGTTGACTACGATGATTGTGATATCGATTATGTCTTAAATTAATTAATTTATTTCTTTGAGTGTTGTTTATAATACTAGTTGTTTGTTGTTTTTTCACAACAGACGACTCATTTACACCGTTATTGTCCGTCTCATTGTTGTTGTCTTCACCATCAACTGGTAACTCATTGTCCATATCATCCAAGTCATCATCACTGGTATTGTTGAAAGCATTTAATCTACAATTTTCTTTATTACTACAAGAGTTCACTTTATGTGATATAAACTTCAATATATCTTGTAATGCAAACTCTCGCTGACAAATACCACAAACAAGAATATCCTGACATAACAACTGGTGATCTTTTTGTTGGTCACGCGTTGCACAGTCTTCTTGTGTGCCATCGATGTTCGCTGTAATACTCATTGGCGTCGACAGTGATGTCTCCTCGAGAGCTAAAACAGAAGCCAAAGAAGAGAACATTACAACAAATTGTCTTTTTTTGTTGGATGTGTTAAAAAAAAGTTGAGACAATAATTTAACATTTGTTTTGTGTATATTTCTCAAGAAATCAAAATACACTACAAGTTACACATTGTGTGGTATTTGTTTGTATGAAACGCATGGCATAAAGTGGACACAACTGTACCACAAGTGATACATAAGCCAAGTGGAAGCACTCAAAAGTTTAGGGCTGAGTGAGCCCCTGGTCTAGACATTTATAGGTCATTATTGCAAAGTTAGTGGACCGGACCAGACCTTGAGTCGTATACGCAAATGCAGACCATTGAGTCATATTAACAAATAGTCAATTTTGACAAACAGTTAGCTTTCAAACTGACTGTTCAAATGCCAGTCGTAACCGACCGATGGTCTAAAAGTTAAGTGTAAAGTCCTTGCAACTGACCATAAGTTGTTTACTAATGCTATTCAAATACAGTAGTGTTGGTAATCAAATTTGGGTCAACCGGATGACCAGTGAAGCCGTCAAGTCATTGGCAAAGTCAAGAGTATAACATAACAAACGCATTGGCTTTTTGTTATGATAGCCCTCTCACTCTATGGTTATACTGTGCTATACGATGGCTAACCTAAACCTTAACAATATAATAATCAGTCATTCATATCAATTGGTGTCAATTCATTGATAATCAAAAAGCATTTCTACAAAAAATCTGACCATTAGAGTAGTCAACAATATTTTTATTAAATGCTATAAAAGTTATATACAGTATATATATTTAAAAAAAACAACAGTTGACTCCAATGTGTTGCAGCTGTGGTTGCCATCAAAAAAAAGCAGAGTAACATTTTTTTGGTCATTCAATTACACAACACATACAAACAATACTAACACAAAAAGTAGTACAAAATAGGATAAATAAAAAACAAGTTTTCATGTTTTGCACAAATTTAATAAAATCGTGATAAAAATCAATGTACAATACTATTATTATAATAACATTTATCTCAATATAACATTTGTTTGAAAGTAAAAATTTAGGTAACATTGTGTGTCATATTGTACAGTATATACCAGTGTTTGAATGTACTTTGTATTTGTTTAACATATTCATTCATATAACTATTACCTAACAAATGGACTAAACATATCAAGTGCTTAACAAATTTGGTAATGGATTGGCCGGTCGTGTGAATTGTTTTATTTCTGGTCAGATATTAGTAGCAGTGATAGTAGAAAACTAATTGTATTGATGGCTCTACTAAATAGTACAATACAGTTATATGATTTGGTGCAATCAATTCCCAAATGGCATATAATGTAATGCAATGTCAATACAGGGGAATAGGAGTATATATATAACTGTATATACAGTATATGGTATATAATGTAATGTGGGATCCAAATGACAAAAGGAGTCCAAAAKGGAAAGAGAGAAGAAAAGAATGTAACTCTCATTGAAAGCAAAGATATTAGTGATAGTGATTGCAAAGCACTAGTATTAAGGCATTAGTGATCACTATTGGCTTTATTATTGCTTATCAACTTCTGTCTCATTGCACGGTGTGCTCGACATGAACTCATGGGCTGATATCCAACACAGGGATTGTATTTGTTGTGCTAAAGTTAGCTGAACTGCTCTAAAACTAGTCTGTATTGAGTGAATTGGGTTTGGGTGTGGGTGTGGGTCCAAACATTTTCATCTCATTTCATCTCAACTTTACTTTCTATTTCAATACACGTGTGTTTTGTCAGAAATGACTTCAACTCACTTGAAAAGCAAAAGGCATTACATAAGCAAATAGAGTAATGAAGAGTAACAGTGCTCAGCCAACACAGTCATCACTGCCAACAATTGCCAGCACTGGTAGTGCACACAGACATTCCACTCTTCTATAATTAGCTGGTCTGCAGCGGACCTGACCTTAACTGGCAAAGAGTAGCCTAAAACTTATTTTTAGCTCAAATGCCTCTCATAGGCAAACAACAGTACATCTCTGAGAGCACTTGCAGTCAGCACAGGCAGTCAAATGGCAATATGAGGTTTAAAATGCGCTAAATGTTAGCTAACAGTGCATCGCATTCGCCAAACAGACAAACATAATGTGTGCCGAAATGTACTTTTGCCAGAAGTGAGCCTTACTTTTAGGTACCTTAAGATGAGATAACATAACTCATGATAAAAGTGCGTTATATAAACATTACATACTCTCTACATATACATACAGGCGCTTAATGGCCCAACACTAACGCTATGCCCAAACACGGTATGCAATAAGCACTGAATGGCATCCAATGTTCACCTACTCGTTCACTATTAAACACATTGACAATACCATACCATTGTATTTATGTGGCTATTAAGGTGTCTATTGTTTGATTGGGTGGTTGTCTCAGGCTTGAGACGAGGACACAATCATTTCATTTATTAATTTTTTATCTCATTTATGAAACACCCGAACAATCCATTTCCTCTTTTTCTATAATATTATCTAACCTTATATTTAATGAGGCGATAAATAATAAAAAATATTTATAATTGTTATACTAATATATCAATAATAAAATAAATGATTAATAGTTAGAAAAAATTAAAAATCAAGAGAATAATGTTGACTATCGACTTCTCTAATGAAAAAAATACAAATAAATAAAATGTTTGAATGTCTGTCTTGTAGTGAATCACAACTCTTGCCATAAATTTAGTAAAGTCTCGACACAACTAAAGCAATAGTAGAGATAACAGTTGAATATTCTTGAGTTTGCACTCATAATAATAATAATTAGTCGTCTTATTGCTAAATACTGTATTTGGCAAAATATCATACAATTATATGCATTGCAAACTAGGAATAACTTAAAATTTATATACATTACATTCATTACATTTTATTACATAATATAGTTGTATCGATATATAAATATATATATAAGAGTAGGTATATATATATATAGTTGAGTTGTATATATATATATATGTAATAAAAGTAACGTTATGTTTATTATAAAATAAAAGCAAATTTCATCCCCTTGAGATAAATTCGTGACTTTCTAATAAAACAACAAGCTACATTAAAGGGGAACGTCATACTGGAGGGGGAATGGATCAACATTTCTATCATTGAGAGCTGTTGTGGCATTGAATGAGCGCCGGGCATAATAACGGTGTATATTATTATTATGAGATACAATGATAGTACATATGTTGCCATAGAAAATGATTCAAAAAAGGACTGAATGATGCAAATGAATGGTCATAAGTATAATGATTTTAAAACTAAGTTTTCTTCCTTTCGTTATGACTTTCTATGGCCTCCCTGTGCTTCTGTTGATGGATGTAATGGCTTATACTATCAGTGCCTTCAATGATATGATAATATTTGTTGGCTTTTGTAGCCGTTTTGAGACATTTTGTCAGATAATATAGTCATTCGTTGTTGAACTCTGTGTTATATTTATATCGTTTTATATATGCATTGCATGTGTTGTAAGGTTTTTAGTGAAACACAACAAGCATTAAGGCCTTCAATAAATAAGTCAGTAGTCAATAGTGTATAACAGATGATATTTTTCACTACATTTTTATCATCAGTCAGTTTTTAGGCATCATTTGTGGACTCAATTTGTTATTTAAGTGATTCACACGATTCGCATCGATTCCTCACTTTAGACATCACGTCCTTTGCGGTCAATCATACCTAACAGCCCAACAGCCCAGACCCTCACTGACACTCCATTACTGACTGGTACTACACTTTGTGCCAAATTTATAGTAAGCAATTCCTTAATGGATATATACATACAACATATATTATACTAATATACACTCTTTTGAAGCTACCAGTGCTGCTAATCATATATAACTAAACATTAAGAGAGGAGAAGACGTAATACAAATGCAATACAATATTTCCCTTTCACTCAATATGTCTCTGGCTTTAAGTTTAAGTATAGCTCTCTCTCTCTCTCTCTCTCTCTCTCTCTCTCTCTCTCTCTCTCTCTCTCTCTCTCTCTCTCTCTCTCTCTCTCTCTCTCTCTCTCTCTCTCTCTCTCTCTCTCTCTCTCTCTCTCTGGTCTTACTGTGAATGCCTGTTAAGGCATTGATAGGCCTTTCCATCCATTTGTGCATTTCTTTTCTGTCGCTCCCATGAGAGAGTCTGTATCTTTGGCTGCCTTTCAGATTCACAAGAGGGGGACAACAGGCGGACAACAGAGTGAGTAAGTGAGAGAAAGAGAGAGAGAGAGAGAGAGAGAGAGAGAGAGAGAGCTGTGATAGAAATAGCATTGAAAGGCAGAGGCGAATGACCGGCAATTGAGTTGAAATACATTTCGGGCCTCTTTTGCCTCCTTTTCTATTTCCTAAACGTTACGTATATATTATGTATTATATTATAACTTATATTACATACAAATATCTGATGACCTAAACCTAAACATTATGGACCAAACTGTACTTTGAAGGAACTTATAGCCAGAAAAAAGTGAGGGGAAGGGAGTGTTATCTGGGCTACAGTGATGTGATCAGCATTTGAAGCACAAGGGACGAAGTGAAGGTCGTCGACCGGCAGACCATACAGTAAAGTCGGGATTCCGTTAGAGCACAGGGAAAACATAACTTTTCTCAAGTGATATGACTTACAAATAATGAGTGCATATCTCAGACCTAAAACCTTAAAACACACTCTCAGACTGACTGTCTATAAGCTAATCCATGTGGCGGTCATTCATTGACTGGCATTTGGCACTAATGCTTACGATTCAATAATTGATAAAAAACAAAACAAAAAGTTTTTTAAATGTTTTGAACAAATATTATGAAACAAAAAAACAAAGAGCATTGCAATGACCTCTCAAAAGGTGATTCGTTAAACATTTGTATAAATCTTTTAAATAGCATATAATAAATATGTGATATCTGTCTAAAAGATTTTTGTTGCGAGTCTTGTTGTGGGCTTTGAATGAGTGGTTTGAGATTATGAAAGGTCATCAAGT